TCAGTTCCCCCCAGTGTCAGAATGCCCGCCGCAGTCCCGCTATAAATCACTGATCGCCGCCATTACTAGTAAAAAAAAAAAAAAAAAAGTATATATACCGCCATTTGTAAACGCAATAACTTTCACGTAAACCAATTTACACATATTGGGAATTTTGTTTTAGCAAAAACATGTTGCAGAATACATTTTGACCAAAATTTATGACAAAATTTGATTTTTTTTAAATTTTTTTACTGGACATGTTTTATAGCAAAAAGTCAAAAATATTTTTTTTCAAAATTGTCAGGTTTTTTTGTTTATAGCCCAAAAAATAAAAAAATGCACAGGCGATAAAATACCACCGAAAGAAAGCTCTATTTGTGTGAAAAAAAGAACATAAATTTCATTTGGGTGCAGAGTTGCATGGCCGCGCAATTCTCAGTGGGCAGCACAGTGACTAAATGGTTAGCACTTCCACCTGGAAGTACTCAGGTCGTTGGTTCGAATCCCAACCATGACACCACCTGCCTGGAGTTTGCATGTTCTCCCTGTGCCTGCGTGGGTTTCCTCCGGGTACTCCGGTTTCCTCCCACACTCCAAAGACATGCTGGTAGGTGAATTGGCTCCTGTCTAAATTGTCCCTAGTATGTGTATGTATGAATGTGAGTTAGGGACCTTAGATTGTACACCCCTTGAGGGTTAGGGACCTTAGATTGTACACCCCTTGAGGGTTAGGGACCTTAGATTGTACACCCCTTGAGGGTTAGGGACCTTAGATTGTACGCCCCTTGAGGGTCAGGGACCTTGGATTGTACGCCCCTTGAGGGTTAGGGACCTTAGATTGTACGCCCCTTGAGGGTCAGGGACCTTGGATTGTACGCCCCTTGAGGGTTAGGGACTGATGTGAATGTTCAATATATATGTAAAGTGCTGCGTAAATTGACAGCGCTATATAAGTACCTGAAATAAATAAAGAATGCAGCGCTGTATTGCAAAAAATGGGAGGAGGAGGAGGAAGAAGAAGAAAGAGGAAGAGGGAAGAGGGAAGAGGAAGAAGAAGAAGAAGAAGGAAGAGGAGGAAGAGGGAAGAGGAGGAGGAAGAAGAAAGGAAGAGGAGGAAGAGGGAAGAGGAGGAGGAAGAGAGGAAGAGGAGGAGGAAGAAGGAGGAAGAAGATAAAGAGGAAGAAGGAGAAAAAAGAAGATAAAGAGGAAGAAGAAGGAGAAAGAAGAAGAGGAGGAAGGAGATAAAGAGGAAGAAGAAGGAGAAAGAAGAAGAAGAAGAAGAGGAGGAAGAAGTAGAAGAAGAGGAGGAAGAAGAAGATAAAGAGGAGGAGGAGAAGAAGAAGAAGAAGAAGAAGAAGAGAGGAGGAAGAAGATGAAGAGGAAGAAGAAGAGGAAGAGAAGAAGGAAGAAAATAAAGAGGAAGAAGTAGGAAGAGGAGGAAGAGGAAGAAGAGGAAGAGAAGAAGAAGGAAGAAAAGGAGGAAGAAGAAGAAGAGGAGGAAGAAGAAGAAAAAGAAGAAGAGGAGGAGGAAGAAGAAAAGGAAGCAGAGGAGGAAGAAGAGGAGGAGGAAGAAGAAGAAGAGGAGGAGGAGGAGGAAGAGAAGGAAGAAGAGGAGGAGGAAGAAAAGGAAGGAGAGGAGGAGGAAGAAGAAAAGGAGGGGAGGAGGAAGAAGAAGAGGAGAAGAAAAGGAAGAAGAGGAGGAGGAAGAAAAGTAAGAAGAGGAGGAGGAAGAAGAAGAGGAGGAAGAAGAAAAGGAAGAAGAAGAGGAGGAAGAAGAAAAAAGGAAGAAGAAGAAAAGGAAGAAGAAGAGGAAGAGGAAGAAAAGGAAGAAGAGGAGGAAGAAGAAAAGGAAGCAGAGGAGGAAGAAAAGGAAGAAGAGGAGGAAGAAAAGCAAGAAGAGGAGGAGGAAGAAGAAAAGGAAGAAGAGGAGGAGGAAGAAGAAGAAAAGGAAGAAGAGGAGGAGGAGGAAGAAGAGGAGGAGGAAGAAAAGGAAGAGGAGAAGGAAGAGGAGGAAGAAAGGGAAGAAGAGGAGGAGGAGGAAAGAAAGGGGAGAAGGAGTAGAAGATCCTTTGGAGGGCAAGTGGTTAATGTGGATTTGGTACCCGAACTGGCGTCACACTGCGACTACTAGCAGCTTCTAAAATGAAAGCTTACGTCTTCCTACAAGAGCAACTTCCCTGCTTCACATTTCATAACGCATAAGGCTGAACTAACTACGCAAACGGTGATAAGCTCCTCTGCTCCGCTCACGGCCATTCCATCAGGAACAACAATCGCTGCGCCACATTCCGCATAACCAGCACTTCCGTGACAGAAATTCAGTGAAGAAAACTGCGCGCGCGTCTGCCTAATGACTCAGAGGTTTTCTATTGGCTACTGTTAGCCCGTGCTGCTGTCTCTATTGGCGTGTAAGAGTTTGTGGGCGTGCTGTTTTGTTCGGCGCCAATGTTTGATGCGGTGAAGTCTCATTGAGGACTGGAAACTCTCGTTGGAACTCGATGGCGACGTATACGTTTTGTGGGAACGAGATTCTTTCCCTTTACCTGTGTAAATCCTGTCACAGAGTCCTGGGTGAGGGGAAGTCTTTGTGCGGACACAATGAGAACCTGACGGTCATAGCCTTTCTACGTGAGTTTCTGTCAGCAATCAGCCATTACTAGTTCACCTATTCAGTGTAGAGGTGTACAGGGCGAAGTGACCAATGGTGAGCAGTCTATTGACACTTGGTGTGTGGAAAGTGAGCTGTGATAGGCTGACGTTGGTCAAATGCTTCTTGACGTTTTATAGAATGATGAACCCGGCATACCAGCGTGCCAAAAACTGTTCTAGACGGGAGCTGGTTTAGGCCGCTGAGTACAGCGGAGATCCAATCACAACATAAAAAAGTCAAAAACTGTAGCGGCTGACTTAAAAAAAAAAAAAAAAAAATTCACCCTCCCTCGATCCCGTCATCTTACCGTTTCTCTGGGCGTTCTCTCACTCAGCCATCTTCAGTGTGGGCACCTGGCTGTGACAGCTTGCGGCTTCATAGCTGTATGTGCACCGCGATCGCGAGTAGCGCTTTCTGAATAGTCCCATAGTCTTGTCTGTTAATTCACCAGATTTATTTATATATGTTTTATTTAAATATATAAAATATATATATATATATATATAAATAAATCCAGCGAATTAACCACATGCCGTCCAGCCACTGTAGAAATACGTTGACAGGGCGGCACGGCTGGGCAAAACCACGTTTTAAAATGTGTTTTCAAAACGGGGCGCGACGCGCGGCCGCCCTACCTGTTCCCCGGGTCACAGCCGGTCGTTACCAGCTGTGTCGCGGCAATCACTGACAGAGAGCACAGCTGCAGTAGCAGTGCTTTCTGTCAGTTCCCTGACAGCTCCAGGACACACTGATCGGGAGAGAAGAGTTTATCTGTCCGGATCAGTGTGTCTCCCTGCAGTACACCCCCCCCCCCTAGTAAAACACTCCCCTCACACAGTTAACCCTTTCACTGAATAATAAAGTTAAGCCCTTCCCCCCCCAGTGCCATTAGTACAGTGTCAGTGTTTTTTTTTTTTTTTTTTTGCACTGATCACTGTATTGGTGTCACTGGGGATGTCAGTGACCCCAAGTCAGTTCCCCCCCAGTGTCAGAATGTCCGCCGCAGTCCCGCCATAAGTCGCTGATCGCCGCCATAAGTCACTGATCGCCGCCATTATTAGTATAAAAAAAAATTAAAAATCCCAGTATCTTTCCCGCCATTTGTAAACGCTATGACTTTCACGTAAACCAATTTTTACACGTATTGGGATTTTTTGTAGCAAAGACATGTCGCAGAATACATTTTGGCAGAAATTTAAGACTAAATTTGATTTTTACATTTTTTTTTTACTGGACATGTTTTATAGCAAAAAGTCCAAAATATTGGTTTTTTTTTTCCTCAAAATTGTCAGCTTTTTTTTTATAGCGCAAAAAATAAAAACCGCACAGGCGATCAAATACCACCGAAAGAAAGCTCAATTTGTGGGAAAAAAAGATGTAAATTTCATTTATGTACCGTATTGCATGACCGCGCAATTGTCCGTTAAACTAGCGCAGCGCTGTATAGCAGAAAAATGTCGTAAATTGCAGTATCTATACCAGGGGTGGGGCAAACTTTTTGACTTGAGGGCCGCAATGGGTTCATATATTGGACCCGGGGCCGGACCAAGAGTAGATGAATGATGTGTCATCCATAGTAAGTATAGTAATTAATCCCCCATATAGTAATTAATCCCCCATATAGTAATTAATCCCCCATATAGTAATTAATCCCCCATATAGTAATTCATCCTCCATAGTAATTCATTCACTTACCTTTGCTCCGCGCGTTCCTCTCGCCGTGTTCCCCCGCCGTTCTTCAGGGCGGACTGTGAGAGGAGCCTAGCTCCCCTCACGTTCGTCACGCTGCCCCGCCTACACACATCCTGACAGCATCAGCTCCACGGGCTGGATTAAAAGGTCCGCCGGGCCGTAGTTTGCCCATTGCTGATCTATACCATAGTTTGTAGACGCTATAACTTTCACACAAAGCAATCAATATACACTTATTGGGATTTTTTTTTACCAAAAACATGGAGCAGAATACATTTTGACCTAAATTTATAACCAACTTTGAGTTTACTATATATTTTTTAAAGCTGAAAGTAAAAAATATTGTTTTTCTTCAAAATGTTTGGTCTTTTTTTGTTTATAGCGTGAAAAATAAAAAGCGCACAGGTGATCAAATACCACCAAAAAAGCTCTATTTGTGTGAAAAAAAGGACGTAAATTTCGTTTGGGTGCAGCATTGCATGACTGCGCAATTATCAGTTGAATTAGTGCAGCGCCGAGTAGCAAAAAGAGGCCCTGGTCATTAAGGGGGGTAAATCCTCAGGAGTGCAAGTGGTTAATCACCTCTGGATTTTTTATTTTTTTGCTAAACCAAAAACAACTGAGTTTTTTTCTTAGTTTCTGTTATAAAATTTTGTAAATAAGTAATTTTTCTCCTTCACTGATGTGCGCTAATGAGGCTGCACTGATGAGGAGGCACTGGTAGGTGGCACTGATGAGCATTGACAGGCATCACTGAAAGGTAGAACTTGTATATGGGACTGTTAGGTGGAACTGATAGTTGGCACAGAAAGGCAGCTCAGATGGGCACTGATATGTGGCACTGATAGGTGGTATTGATGAGCACTGACAAGTGGCATTAATGGACACGGACAGGTGAAACTGATGGGGCTACACTGATCATCAGTGCCCTGATGATCAGCATACATGTCCTCTCTGAGGAATGCCAATTACCGGCTCTCCTCTCCTCTGTCAACATGACAGTTTGTGAGGAAAGGAATGCCAATAACTGGCATTTCCTTATTTACATGCGATCAGCTGTGATTGGACACAGCTGATCACATGACAGAGCGACGTCATCGGCTCTTTCCGCTGATCGGTGATCCGATGTGTCCCAGTTACACCGCGCACCACCAATCGCCACTATGATGTCCTCCAAGAACGAGAAAACCACCGCCCGTCCATTTCCTTATGGCAGGCGGGAGGCAGTTAATTAGCATGTGCGGTAATGTAATGTTAAACTCACATTAAAATTATATCATTTTTACCCAAATTGAGCTTTATTTTGGTGGTATTTGATCACCACTACGTTTTTTTTTTTATTGTATAAATGAAAAAAGACCAAATATTTTGCAAAAAAAAAAAAACAATTTCTACTTTCTGCTATAAAACATATCCAATGAAAAACTTTAGGAAAAAAATCTAATTTCTTCATGAGTTTAGGCCAAAATGTATTCTGCTACATATCTTTAGTAGACAAAAAAAATCCCAGTGAGTGTATATTGATTGGTTTGTGTGAAAATTTATAGGGCATACAAACTATGGTGTGTATATACACTGAAATTTTAATTTTTTATCAGGGTGGATTTGATTTAAATCACTAGTCAGTAAGGCTTGATGTAAATCCTAGTTTTCTACATAAAGACTAATTCTTGCTGGTATAACTTTAATATGCAAGTAGATGAAGATTTTTAGAATAACTTTTCATATTAGTTTTTTTTTATCCCCAGTTTAATAGGTTAATCATTCATATTTGGACAACTTTTCTGTTGTACTTAGGAAGGAGAAAAATAATCATTACCTTAATAATAACAATTTAAATAGATTTATTCAACTGAAACAATAACATTCCAGCATATGTGATTTGCTTAAACATCCATGTTTGTTAACTAATTTGGCAAAACAAAATATATATATTTGAAGAAACTTAGACTGTCAGCCCCTTCCTCCTCACACTTAGTTTCACTTTCTTCTTGTGCAGATCTATTCCACTCCAAACAATCAGAAAAATATTGTTTCTATTCTATTCACTGAACTTCTTGAAACTTAGCACTGAAGGGGTTGATTCTGTATTCATAGGTTTGTAGAAGTTAGGATGAAGGTCTTTTTCTTAACTCTGTTCATGTTATAACATTTTTGCTGTGAAGAAGAGGCATGTGATCTCCGCTGAGTCAAATTCAGTTTTGAGAACTGCAAAAGTAAACCAATCATCTGTGATAATATCTTGTAGGCAGAGAAATTGCCCAATAATCTTACAAAAACCTCTGGAAGAGCATGACATTGTGAATGGATTCATGGAATTTATTTACCAAGAAAATTAAACATATACAGCCTTATTCTACATAATTAAAAAACGAATCTTTATTTCCTGATGGAATAACCTTTGGATGGTAATATATTTTCCTCAAAAAGCATTTTATTTAAAAAAATCCGATTTAAATAAAAAAAATCCGATTTTTTTGATTTTTATAAAAAAAAAATCATTGATTTTTATCCACCCTGTTTTTTATAGTAATGACGGTGATCAGTGACACATAGTGGGGATGTGGGAGTGTGGCAAGCAATCTGACACTGGCTGAGGGGTAGACAAACTGACTGATATCACCAGTGACACTAATATAGTAATTAGTGATAATACTATACACTGTCACTGTAGTAATGACACTGGCTGAGAAAAGGTTAACATCTTGGTTTAATCAAGGGGTGTGCCTAACAAGTGTTTAATGTATGCTGCATTTTACCTAAAATCTGAAACAGATTGTTCCCACTGTACAGAGCCCTGTGTGTTTTGTCAACACAGGGCTCTGGGCTTGTGATGGCCACAGCCGATCAGCAGGTCTTAGCCATGAATTGTTGGCTGAAATCTGCCGACAAAATGCCGCTGTGTCCAATCACAGTGGGAATCTTCCGAACCCAGCAGAGGGGAGTGATGGTTAGGTTTGTTGCTGTGCCTGTATGAGCCGCCCTCCTGCAGTAAAAGGTGGACAGTTCGTAAGTGGTTTAAATGATAAATCCACGTGCTTCCCAAGCCTATTTTGACCCTATTCACATAAATGTAAAAATCTGCTCTTTTTTTTTCCAAACATTTATTTTTTTTTTTAAGCAGAGGTCCTAGAGAATAAAATGTTGGGTGTTACAATGTTTTATGTTACACGGTGTTTGCACAGCAGTTTTTCAAGCAAAATGGTTTTGGAGAAGATACTTTAATTTTAACGCACAAAACACCATATAATACCCAATTATTTGGTAAAATATAAGCGATATTACGCTAAGTAAATATATACCTAACATGTCATGCTTTAACCACCTCCTGCCTGCCATATAGTAATATTACAGATGCAAGGTGGTTCTCTTGTTCTGGGAGGACGTCCTCCCCATTCTAACCGCGCATGCGCGGCTCCAAGAGCGCGCGGCGATCGGCGGAGTGCTGTGTCCCTCAGACACAGCGGATCACCGATCCACGGAAAGAGCCGGAGATGTCGGCTCGGTCATGTGATCAGCTGTGTCCATCACATGTAAACAGGGAAATGCCGGTTATCGTCATTTTCTCTCCCCACGAGCTGTCACTCTGACAGCTCATGAGGCGAGAAGAGCCGGTAATCGGCATTCCTCGGAGGGGGACATGTACACAGATCATCAGAGCACTGATGATCTGTGTAGTCCCAGCAGCGCCACCTATCAGTGCCTGCTCTCAGTGCTCATCCATGCCACCTGCCAGCGCCCATCAGTGCCACATTTCAGTGCCACATCAATGCCACATATCAGTGCCCATCTGAGCTGCCAGTCAGTGCCGCCTAACAGTGCCAGTCAGTGCCGCCTAACGGTGCCATATATGAGTGCTGCCTTTCAGTGCCCATCAGTGATGCCTGTCAATGCCCATCAGTGCCACCTACCGGTGCCTCCTCATCAGTGCCCATCAGTGCCACCTATCAGTGCCCATCAGTGCAACCTCATTAGCGCACATCAGTGAAGGAGAAAAATCACTTATTTACAAAATTTTATAAAATTTTTTTAAAAAATTTTTTTTTCCGTTTTTTTACATTTTCAGTGGTTTTTGGTTTGTTTAAGAAAAAAATAAAAAAAAACCTAGAGGTGATTAAATACCACTAAAAAAAAAAAGGTAAAAATTTCATACGGGTACAGTGTTGCATGACCGCGCAATTGTCATTCAAAGTGCAATAGCACTGAATGCTGGAAATTGGCCTGGGCAGGAAGGGGGCCTGTGTGCAAATTCTTGGCGGCTGCGGGACCAGCTTGTACTGCATCAAAAAATATATGTATACTTGTGAGCTACTATGCTGAATAGTGACTGTGTTAATTAATTAGATGCAATTAAATAAATTGACGTAAGGTTTGCTGGCACTCACACCAACTCATTAAATAGTGTTTGTGACTAAAAGACTATAACCAATAGTGCCGCGCGCTCCTATGTTAAATAATGTACTAAAAAAAAAAAACTAATATCAGCTGCATAAATATTATAACTCAAAAAATTATTATAATATATAATTATTGACTAATCCTATAATCATCAAATTATAATGACAGTGGACATGCCCAATGTGAAAACAAATAAATAACTAATTCTCAATAAACCGCATAACCAAATTCAATATATATATGTGTAGAAACAAAGTCTTTCAATTCAGAAACTCCCACTCCAGTATCTGGATGCAGTGTGATCTATTTATGCGCTCACCTTACAGCATACTTCGCCTAATTGATATTAGGCAAAACCAGCTTTTTGTCCTTAAAGCTGGTCCGTGACCCGGTGCCGTAATGTGTAGGGGAGGGGCTCTGACGTCACAGCGTTGTCTCGGACAGAACGGCGAGTATGGCACACACAGCAGGCTACCTTCACCTTTTTAAGCTCATTGACATTTGCATATATGTGAGTGGAATATTGGCACTTAATAAATTTAAAATTTAAAAGGATAAGGCACTATGGTTTCTTTTTCCTTCATGCTACCTTTAATGTGACACATTAGAGAGAGGATACTAAAGGAAGGAGGAGACCCCTGGAGGGGAAGAGGGAGATATCCATCCATCCATCCATCCATCCATAGCTTAATACAGGGATCAACAGATTGGAGAGACCCCAGGTGGAATATTACCATAACTACAGCCATCCAAAAAGTATCTGGAGAAATATTGCAAGCAGAAGAATTGTTACATCTGTCCTTAAAGGACAAAAAGCTGGCTTTGCCTAATATCAATAAGGTGAAGTATAAGGTGAGCGCATAAATAGATCACACTGCATCCAGATACTGGAGTGGGAGTTTCTGAATTGAAAGAGGACTTTGTTTCTACATATATCGAATTTCGTTATGCGGTTTATTGAGAATTAGTTATTTATTTGTTTTCAGATTGGGCATGTACACTGTCATTATAATTTGATGATTATAGGATTAGTCACTAATTATATATATTATTATATATTTTTTGAGTTATTATATTTATGCAGCTGATACTGATTTTTTTTTTTTAGCACATTATTTAACACAGGAGCGCGGCACTATTGGTTATAGTCTTTCAGCTTGTACTGCACTTATGGGACTCGCCACGTCACAAAGTGATAACACAGTGCTGGTATGTATAAGACCAGGATGTACTAGGCCGTTGGTGCTTGCCAGCTCACCAAAAGGTAGAGCGGTACTAGTACTGGCACTCTGCTGCATATGAGAGTCATCATGCGTTTGTACCACCAGCAACCTGGGAACAGGGTCTGGTACACTTGATCTTAGCAGGGACCTCTTCTCCGTCATCTGAGCTAACTGTTAGGGTGCCGCTGCTGTCTACAGGTTCGTATTCTGAGGCGGATTCTGTCAGTGAGTCTTCCCCTTTGCTCTCACCTGACAGGCTCAGAATCCTGTAGGCCTCTTCACTAGTGTACATTTGGTTGAACATTTTGGTCACTAAATTTATAGGTACCTAGTGCGGCTCACAGGGAAAAATCCCTGGCAGCCTGGGATTACGCGAACCGCTAAAAAAAATTTTAGCGACAAGTGCTAACAGAGATCAGGCTTGATTCTGTGAACACTGCGGTTTTGTATGCAATGTATCAAGTGACAGTGATCTACTGACACTGCACTTGCTGGGGAGAAGGGGGGGTAAGATTAGGGGCTAAACGCAGGTGCTGGCAGGTGTCGGGGGGGCTGATCCCGCTAACGCTGCGTTTTTAAGGACGCTATGCTAATGTGAACTCTGGTATAGTTCTGATCTGATCAAAGATATTGATCCATTCAGACACTATACTAGCAATGGAGGTTTGTGGTGTAAGTGAGGGGTAATCAATGGGTAAATGTGATTACTGGTGTACTGATGGACAATCTGACGCTATTGGAAGTCGCCAGCGACACTAATACAGTGAACAGCAAAAAATCAGTACACTGTACTAATGACACTGGTGACAGGGCAGTGAAGGGGTTAACTGGGGGGGGGCATGATCAAAGGGCTAAATGTGTCTTAGGGTGTTCTAACTGTAATTGTGTTTCTTTCTCTGGGACCAAATGTTCCCAGGCAGAGAAGATTGACATAATTTCCTGTCCTGTATATCTGTCAGCACAGGACAGGATAGGTCGGGGATCAATCATTTGACTTAGAACGGATGTCACTGGCCTAAATCGAATGATTCCACGGGGATCGAATTGAGACACCCACGGGTCGGGGGGGGGGCACGAAAACCTCGGGAGCGCGAATTACGTATATATATTTGATTTTGCAGTACTGTGGGCGGGGCGGTAACCTGTTAGTGTTAGCTGTAAGCAACAAGCACATACAGGAAAGATAACAACACTGCACTTTAAGAGAGCTAATTTTCCAAGGATGAAGGGCTGCTCTACAAGACTTAATTTGAGAGGGAATATTGGCATCAATGAACACAGGACAGAATTGGGAATTCTTCAAAAAGACTGTATGCAAACACACTGCAAAATATATTCTTATAGGCAACAAGTTTAAAAGTGTAAAAAATAAAAAACCTATGGCTTATGGCCAAAGTTAAAGTGGTTCTAAAGGCTCAAGGTTTTTTACCTTCATGCATTCTATGCATGAAGGTAAAAAACCTGTGTGCAGCATCCCTCCAGCCCCCACTAATACTCACCTAAGCCCCCTTTCGATCCAGTGATGTGCACTGTAGTCTTGGGTATCCTGGAACTCCCCCTTCTCATTGGCTGAGACAAAAGCTGGAGCCATTGGCTCCCACTGCTGTCAATCACAATAATGAGGAGAGCGGGGTCGGGGCCGAGCCGCAGCTCCGCGTGTGAACACACGGAACAGTGGGTGCCCCCATAGCAAGCTGCTTGCTGTGGGGGCCACAGACGGACCAAGAGTCTGCGGGGGACCCAAAAAGAGGAGGATCCAGGCTGCTCTCTGCAAAACCACTGCAGGTAAGTATAGACATGCGTGTTATTTTTTTTTATTTGAAAAAAAAATAAAACCTTTAGAATCACTTTAAAAAAGCTATTAATAATAAGAAAAGAAAGTTTATAAAAATTAAGGACTTGAAAATCATGCTTTTGGCTGTTGCTGTTCACATCTCTACCTGCTTCCTGGACCAATGCTCACCTCCAACTGCTCTCTTAAACAGGTAATCTGCTCTACCTTTTGTTCAGCTAGGCTGTGAAAAAGTCTGTATTGCCATACTCAGGAGGAGTAGCAATATGTATTTTGAGGTGTAATTCTTGGTATGTCCATGCTGTGTGTTAGGAATATTTTTATAAATTGAACAACTTTGTGCATAAAAAAGTTTTTTTTAAAAAAATGCATTTTCTTTCCACATTTTCCAAAAACCTGTGGAAAAAAAAAATAATGTTCAAAAAACTCGTTTTCTACCTCATAGAAAATACATTTAGGTGTTTGCTTTCCAAAATGTGGTCATTTTGTGTGTAGTTACACTGTCCTGGTTCTCCAGGGCCTTCAAAAATGTGATAGGAAATGAGATGTGTAATTTAGTCCCTAGAACACCTGAAGGTGCTCCTGTTGCGCCAGGTGCTCCTAGTTGGGCCTCTCTATGTGGCTAAGCTGTGAAAAAAAAAAAGTCTCAAACATTTAGTATTTCCATACTCGGGAGGAATAGCAGAATGTTTTTTGGGGTATAATTGCAAGTATGCCTATGCCGTGTGAGAGAAGAAACTTAATATAAGAAATGTTTGTGAAAAAATAAATGTTTTTAATAAATTTTTTGCTTATATTGCAAAAAAAATAAAAAGCCCAGTGGTGTTTAAAGACCACCAAAAGAAAGAAAAGAAAAAAAAAGTGAGAGAGCACTGACAGCTGAAAATTTAAACAGGAGGGGGTAAAAGTGCCCGGTATTGTAGTGGTTAAAATGCACCATAACAAAATGTATAAATATTAATAGTGCCTTGAATGTGACATATTGTATACTTTTGGCACATTTGAAGTCCTTTTTCAACCTGCTTACTTATGGAGAATTTTTTTTCTTTAGATAAATCTAATATACATAAATGATATGTTGGTTTATACTGCACAAGTTTTAGTTTTATTTTTTTTTTTAGGAAATATCCCCTTTTTTCTATCAAAGTATCACAGCACAGACTACCTTGCAACGCTTCCAACTATAGCATATCTTAACTATTTACATACTGTCTTAATAACTTCTGTGTACCATATTCATTTTTTTAACTTTTCTTTTTTTTTGTAGGGGTTACAAGCGATGTTAACATGACCGATACCCTTGAATTTGGAATACATGATGACCTGGAAGGCTGGTAGGTCATTTTTATTGATGTTTTTTGCAAACCTCAAACTCCATTCATAAAAGCAATCTTGCTTACAATATTTTCATAACTGTGTGGACTCTTTATATTCCAAATTGTATAGGACACAGGATCATTAGTCTTGAACCAT